ACACTCACTTGGACACTAGTAAATCTGTCGCGAGAATGCTGTTCATTGATTATAGCTCTGCTTTTAATTGTCTTGTCCCAAGCATATTGGTTGAAAAACTAATGTCCCTTGGTCTGAATGTTGCCATGTGTAAATTGATTTTTAGCTTTTTAACTGACAGATCTCAGAGAGTAAAAATCAATGACTGTTTTTCTGATGTTGTTTCTGTGAGCACTGGTTCTCCTCAGGGATGTATTTTGAGTCCTCTGCTCTTTACTTTGTACACTCACGATTGTGTGTCCTCCTCTGACTCTAACTTGATCATTAAATATGCTGATGACACCACCATCATCGGTCTCATCAGTGACAATGATGATTCCTCTTACAGAGCAGAGATCGAACATGTTTTTCAGTGGAGTAAAGTAAACAATCTCCAGCTGAACACGGCAAAAACATGTGAACTTGTCTTTGACTTCAGTCGTAACAGTTCTCACACTCCTGTAGTTATTGACAACTCCCAGGTGCAGATCGTAGAGGAGTGCAAGTTCCTGGGTTTAACTCTGTCTAACGACCTGAAATGGGACAAAAATACTAACCGGGTTGTTAAGAAAGTATGTCAGCGGCTCTTCTTTTTGCGGAAACTTAGAGAATTTACCACTAACTCTAAGATTCTGCTTAACTTTTATCGCTGCGCCATTGAGAGTTTACTTGTTGGTTCTGTGTCTGTGTGGTTTGGAAACATCACAGATAAAGAAAAGAGAGCTTTAAACAAGGTGCGCCGCTCTGCAAAGAGGACCGTGGGCTGTGAGCTTCCTGTTCTGGAGGTTCTTTATAAATCCAGACTTTTAAACAAAGCTCTTAAAATCATCAATGACTCTTCTGGCCACCCTGGGAAAGCCATGTTCCAGCTTCTTCCCTCTGGCAGAAGATATCGGTCGCTGAGATGCAAGACATCTCACTATGCTAACAGCTTCTTTCCACAGGCTGTTGGGTGCCTAAACAGAGCACTTTAATTCCTGCTTTTACCCCTTGTATCGTTTTGTTGATCGGTGCCACAGTGTCAGCTGTTTTTTTATTCTTTTATATTCAGTGTATGTGTATTTTATATTACATTGTATCGTGCTTTTTATTCTGTCGGTGCACACGGAGTACCTTTTTTTGCAAATGTATTCCAATGTAGTTTTTATACTGCACATGGCTCCCATGAGAGTAGAGTATTTAATAAAATTAAATAGCTACTTTTACAGATTTACCACGTCTGCTTTAGCAGGAACTAATGCAGACGTGGAAGCACAACGACGAACAGGAAGTGAAGGACCACAAGGGGCTTAATTACAAGACGAACGAGACACACGTGATACACATGAGGACGGGGCAGGTAACCAGGAAACAGGAAGTACAACTAATGAAGACATAGAGGTTAGGAAATAAACCTAAACCATAACAAGAAGATAAATATAAGAGTGAGTGTATCTCAACGAACAATATCTTCTGCCTGAGGGAAGAAGCTGGAACAAGGCTATTCCAGGGGCCAGAAGAGTAATTGATTGATTATCATTATGCAAAAATAAAAATAAATCACAAAAATGTTGCAAAACAGGAAAATGCCAGAAAAAAAGAGGGTGATAATAATAAACAAGTACAAAATAAGTAAAACTAAAAAATGTAAACAAAAAAATATAAATTTTTTCAGAAAAATGCGGCGACAGTGGCTCAGTTGGTAGAGCATTGGCCTTTGAGCCTAAAGGTTCTGGGTTCGAGCCCACCATAAGACCTACTTCACGACTCCCACTGATGACTGCTGTTGTTGTGTCCTTGGGCAAGACACTCAACCCCGCTTTGCCTGAAGCCCCCGCTGAAAGATCTCAGCTCCTGTGGACTCACCACCTGCAGGAGGATCAGTGAGGGGCTGGTGCTCTGTGTACTGGGTGCAGCTCCGACTGCCCCCCCCCCGACCCAGAAATGAATAAAGGGGAAGAAAATGAATGGATGGATGGATGGATGGTTATTTTTCTGATCGGCTCGGTGGGCCGGATTTGGCCCGCGGGCCGCCAGTTAATAATCAGTGCTGTAGACCTATGTAAGTTTGTGAGTTTTTGTCTTGGGAGTACTCTCACCAATTTAACTAAATATGATTTGCACAGGAGAAGATGATATAAGAAGGGGCGAGTGTATAACTTACAAGGAAATGCACTTTCTTTCACCATTAAACTCTTTTAAAATAGATTTTTTTGCATGTCGCCATTAATTCTCAGTTGAGATATGAAGCTGCAAGGACCGCTTATCAAATTCTTCTCATTATTTCACATTTCAAACTATTTATTACATCAAGATCTCCTTTTCATCTTGAAATACGACAAGTATAGCAGTGATTCTCGCAAAGTTATTCCCAAAAAAATATGCCTGACCAAGTAAAGCCGTCTCAAATGGCTGCATGTTCGTCACGTTTTGACCTGTGCAATTACTCAACGGTGGGTTGTGATGGAAAGTGGTGGCGGCTCTCAGCTTAAGGGGGCAATCACGGCTGCTGAATGAGAAACACAAGTAGGTCAAAGGAGCAGGATCCGAGTGGAATAAAGAGATCAGAGCCCGAGCGCTGGTGCATGTCCTGTCACTGAGGGCGCTATCTGCACTGGTCCAGCTGCACCCTGCACTGCTGTGACACGGAGGGTAATTACATAGACCTCTCTCATACATGCATGTATTGTAATGTGCAAACAACCGGAAATGTGCAAACATGCTAAAAAATTGAAAAGATATACAGTGCCTTGTGAAAGTATTCGGCCCCCTTGAACTTTTCAACATTTTGCCACATTTCAGGCTTCAAACATAAAGATATAAAAAAAAAAAATTTTTGTCATGAAACAACAACAATTGGGACACAATCGTGAAGTGGAACAAAATTTATTGGATAATTTAAACTTTTTTAACAAATAAAAAACTGAAAAGTGGGGCGTGCAATATTATTCGGCCCCTTTACTTTCAGTGCAGCAAACTCACTCCAGAAGTTCAGTGAGGATCTTTGAATGATCCAATGTTGTCCTAAATGACTGATGATGATAAATAGAACGCACCTGTGTGTAATCAAGTCTCCGTATAAATGCACCTGCTCTTTGATAGTCTCAGGGTTCTGTTTAAAGCGCAGAGAGAACCATGAAGACAAAGGAACACACCAGGCAGGTCCGAGATACTGTTGTGGAGAAGTTTAAAGCCGGATTTGGATACAAAAAGATTTCCCAAGCTCTAAACATCTCAAGGAGCACTGTGCAAGCAATTATATTGAAATGGAAGGAGTATCAGACCACTGCAAATCTACCAAGACCCGGCCGTCCCTCCAAACTTTCATCTCAAACAAGGCGAAGACTGATCAGAGATGCAGCCAAGAGGCCCATGATCACTCTGGATGAACTGCAGATAACTACAGCTGAGGTGGGAGAGTCAGTCCATAGGACAACAATCAGTCGTGCACTGCACAAATCTGGCCTTTATGGAAAAGTGGCAAGAAGAAAGACATTTCTCAAAGATATCCATAAAAAGTCTTGTTTAAAGTTTGCCACAAGCCACCTGGGAGACACACCAAACATGTGGAAGAAGGTGCTCTGGTCAGATGAAACCAAAATCGAACTTTTTGGCCACAATGCAAAACGATATGTTTGGCGTAAAAGCAACACAGCTCATCACCCTGAACACACCATCCCCACTGTCAAACATGGTGGTGGCAGCATCATGGTTTGGGCCTGCTTTTCTTCAGTAGGGACAGGGAAGATGGCTAAAATTGATGGGAAGATGGAGCCAAATACAGGACCATTCTGGAAGAAAACCTGTTGGAGTCTGCAAAAGACCTGAGACTGGGACGGAGATTTAGCTTCCATCAGGACAATGATCCAAAACATAAAGCCAAATCTACAATGGAATGGTTCACAAATAGACGTATCCAGGTGTTACAATGGCCAAGTCAAAGTCCAGACCTGAATCTGTGGAAAGAGCTGAAGACTGCTGTTCACAAACGCTCTCCATCCAACCTCACTGAGCTCGAGCTGTTTTGCAAGGAAGAATGGGAGAGAATTCCAGTCTCTCGATGTGCAAAACTGATAGAGACATACCCCAAGCGACTTGCAGCTGTAATTGCAGCAAAAGGTGGCGCTACAAAGTATTAGCGCAAGGGGGCCGAATAATATTGCACGCCCCACTTTTCAGTTTTTTATTTGTTAAAAAAGTTTAAATTATCCAATAAATTTCGTTCCACTTCACGATTGTGTCCCACTTGTCTGAAGCCTGAAATGTGGCGAAATGTTGAAAGGTTCAAGGGGGCGAATACTTTTGTGTACTTGAATTACAAATTACTACATTAAATTATAACTTAATAACATTCCAATAAGTTTCCAAGCCACAAAGAGAAGCAGCAGTGTTGAAAAGTTTCATTTGAAATGAAAAGTGAAAATGCAACACAAACCAAATAATATGGTGTCATGGATTTTAAAGGTCCCATGATGCACTGTTCTCTGATTTAAACGCCATTACAATTGGTGGTGTCATGCTGTCATGGATTTTAAAGGTCCCATGATGCACTGTTCTCTGATTTAAACGCCATTACAAGAGGGATCAAGATGGCGCCAGCGTGTGTGGCCGGTCGCCTATCGACTCTATTCATTTTAATACATGTCATCTTATTATTATGTTTTCACCGAAAATATGTCTCTGCTCTATTGGTGTATGATCGACAAACTCTTCTTGATATTCAAACTGCACAAAGTTGGACGGCTAAATGTGATTCCGAACAAACAACGTGGAGTCTACCCCCGCACCTGTCCAGTGTCCCATCGTACCTTTGGCGTGTGCCAGTCCCAATGCAGAAAAAGCGTCCCAGAAGGCGCGGTAGACGTTCTGGTCTTTTGGTCAAATTGAGATTGTCCAAAGCATACAGCTCTTCAACTTACTTCACCCGTGGAGGCTCCACTCACAGACTCTTCCCAGGTCTGCGCTGGATTCTACCCATCTTCCCTGCTCCAGAGGCCGCGCAGATGCGCTCGTGCCACCTGCCACTGGAGACGCTCGTCCTGAGGAGACGCAGAGGCGACCAACGCAGAGTGGATCTCGGTGCACTCCGGCCTCTCGCCCGCTCCTCCTCGCTTCACCACGAGGACGTAACTATTTGCTTGGGCCTCATGAATGTTAGATCGCTAACAAATAAGACTTTTCTTCTCAACGACCTGATCGCGACACGGGATTTGGATATTACTTTATTCACGGAGACATGGGTCCAAGCTGGTGAGTCCACGGCGTTTTCCGAACTCCTTCCACCAGGCTACTCATTCATTAGCTCCCCGCGTACTAGTGGTAGGGGAGGTGGGCTTGCCACAGTGTTTAAAGACTCGTTTCCATGCAAGCAAATTCCATCTGAAAGCTTTTCAAGCTTTGAATTACAAACATTTATGCTTGAACGCGCTCCTGTCATCTGTGCCTTAATGTATCGTCCTCCTAAAATTCATAAGGATTTTATTCAGGAATTCACTAACTTTGTTACAGGGCTCGTGCTGAAATATGACTGTTTTATTATTGCTGGTGACTTTAATATCCATGTGTGCTGCGAGTCTAAACCATTAGTCAAGGACTTTTTAAATGTTTTAGAAACGTTTAACTTGGCACAGCTGGTCCCTGGCCCAACACATGAAAAGGGACATACGCTCGATCTTGTGCTGTCTTTTGGTCTGAATCTGGAGATTATTGATATCTGTGACACGGGTATCTCAGATCACTACGCCGTGCTCTTTACTCTGACGCTTCCAAAATCTAACATTAAGCCGTGTGCCCCTGCGCGCAAAGTGCGCACATGCAACTCGCAAACTGCACTCACATTTTCGTTGGCTTTCTCTGACTTTATACTGAACAACGACTGCGGCAGTGATTTAGCTGTGGAAGACATGGTCTCTTTATTCAACGCTACATGCTCAAGCATTATTGATCTCGTAGCCCCATCCAGAGTCAAATGCGTAAAGCCTAAAGCTGAGCCCTGGCTTAATGACACAACACGGGCTCTGAGGCGCATCTGCAGACGTGCGGAGAGACGCTGGCAAAAGGACCGTCTGCAGGTGTCACTGGACATGCTGAAAGACAGTCTACAGTCATATCAGAGAGCAGTTAAAACTGCCAAGTCTAAATTTTTGTCCAACGTTGTTACTATCAATTTCCACAAACCCCAGGTTCTTTTTAATACACTGACCTCTTTGATTAATCCATGCACTTCTCCCCCTGTAGTGGCCTCTTACAAACTATGCAATGATTTTATTGTATTTTTTAATGACAAAATTGCCTCCATTAGGCAGTCTCCGTTGTGTAAGCCCAGTTTTATGAATATAGATAATGGCTGTCAAAATGTATTTGAGTGTTTTGAAAATGTGTCCTTAGCATTTGTGACAGACATTGTAAAAAAGCTACGCCCGTCTTGTTGTCCCCTTGACTCCATCCCATCTCGTCTGTTTAAGGAGGTGTTCAACACAGTGGGGATTTGGGTCCTTAACATAATTAATGCATCTTTAAATTCAGGATGTGTACCTATCACACTTAAACATGCCGTGGTACAACCTCTTCTTAAAAAGCACAATCTTGACCCTACATGCTTGTCGAATTATAGGCCCATCTCAAAGTTGCCTTTTATTTCTAAGATCTTGGAAAAGGTTGTTCTCGTTCAACTACAGGACCATCTTGATATTTACAGCATCACTGAGAAGTTTCAGTCAGGTTTCAAAGCCAAGCATAGTACTGAGACTGCTCTTCTTAGAGTTCTTAATGATCTTTATTCAGTCTCAGACTCAGGCCGCCCTTCTGCTCTAGTTCTCCTAGATTTATCGTCAGCGTTCGATACGGTGGACCATGATATTCTTATTGCACGCCTCGAGCAACAAGTGGGCATCACAGGAACTGCACTTAAATGGTTCCAGTCCTATCTGACTGAGAGAACCTTTTCTGTTCAATTTGGCCAGTTCTCCTCTCAAGCGTCCAATTTAAAGTGTGGAGTGCCCCAAGGCAGTATTTTGGGCCCTACCCTATTTTGTCTTTACATGCTTCCCTTAGGAGCTATATTTGAGAAGCATAATATTTCCTACCACTGCTATGCTGATGATGTCCAAATATATCTGCCCATTCAGACTAGCAGCTGTGTACAGACACTTGTTGATTGTTTGAAGGAAGTTCAGGAATGGATGCAAGATAACTTCCTTAGTTTAAACAACAGGAAAACAGAAATACTTACCTTTGGGACTTCTGACCCTCTGCTGAACTGTGACAGTGCTATAGGACCTCTTATGGTTTATGAAAAGCCCCACGCCAGGAATCTAGGATTTATTATTGACAGCCATTTTAAATTTGATAAGCAGATAAATGCTGTTCTTAAAACAAGTTTTTATTATCTCAGAGTTCTTAGCAAAGTAAAATCTTATATTCCACATGCCCATTTTGAGAAGGCCATTCATGCTTTTATCACTTCCAGGCTTGATTATTGTAACTCTCTCTATGTCGGCATTGACCAGGCCCAGCTCAGCCGCTTACAGGGAGTGCAAAATGCAGCAGCCCGTCTTTTAACAGGGACAAAGCGCAGGGAGCACATCACTCCTGTTTTGCAATCCCTGCACTGGCTCCCGGTATATTTTAGAATTCATTTTAAAATTCTTATTATCGTTTTTAAAAGTTTTAATAGAATGGCACCTTCTTATTTATATGAACTCCTCCAGCCTCACCTTCCCTCCAGAGCACTGCGCTCTGCAGATCAGCACCTTCTTGTCGTCCCTAGGACCAGGCTGAAGACCAGAGGAGACAGAGCTTTCTCTGTTATAGGGCCAAAGTTGTGGAACTTTTTACCTTTGCACATCAGAACTGCACAATCACTCGAGCACTTTAAATCCCTGCTTAAAACGCATCTTTTTTCTTTGGCTTTTACTACCAAGTAGACAGAGACAAATTTTTCGATTTCTTTTTGTATATACATTTCTGTATTTTATGTGTTTTTATTTTATAATTTTTCCTCGCTGGCTGTCTTTGGTAAGCCTAGGCTGTTTTAAATGTGCTCTACAAATAAAGATTTGATTGATTGATTGATTGAATTGTTAAAATTGTGACGTGATAAACCCCGCCTCCATAAGGTGATTGACAGGAGGGATAACCAAAGAGCACCTACTCTCAGTTAAGTTTCCCACACATGTAAACTGTTGCCATGACAGCAGTTGCCATGACGACCGGAATGTCATACTATGTCATCTCTATGTTCCGGAAGTCCCCATTCAAAGCTTATATAGGCAGCTCAGAATAGCGGATAAACAATCAACCCGGTTATCCAAGAGTCGTGTTTGGAGACAGAGAGACATATAGACAGAGACAGAGAGACACTATTTATCCATATATATTCTCAAATACACTAGTAAAGAGTAGTATAGAATATAAAAAAATGGCCAAAAACTCAAGAAAGAGGAGGAATCAAAAAACGTCCAACTTTTACGTGAGAACACAGAACATTTTTAACCCGGTCGAGGCAAATATCCAAAGTTCTAACAAGTTGGAGGTTCCTCAAAATAAGTCGGAGTCAAGCTTTGAGGCCGGATCAAAGACACAACCTCAAGAAACCCAAGCTCCAGTCGTTCCAGGCCCAACCTCACTGCACCCAGTAACAGAGAACCACAGCGTGGAGGCCAACAAAGAGGGATGGGAAGTTGTGAAACGAAAGCACAACAAACAAAAGCAGGAAAAAGTGGAAGAGGCCCCGACACCTCATCAGGGACGTGCTTCCAACTCAAGACCCAAGAACTCAAGACTCTCCAAATCAGAGAGATCTGGGCCTTGTTGCACTACTGACAATGTGGAAATTACTCAAAATAAATCCCAAAGAAAATCTCAGGAACATTTAAGACCAGAAGCTGAAGTGAGCAACCCTCGAGTGGAGAGATCTGTGGAGCAAAGCTGGTTCCAGCAAGCCCCAGGACACGATGGTAAAAACAGAAAGCAGCGAGACAGACCTAGTGTTGAGAAAGTAAAAGGGTCTGAACAAACAAATCAGGCTCAAACTGATTCCAAACCTGTTGCTGCGGAGGTGAAATGGTACAAGCCAAAGCCAGAGATAGTGGTTTATCCCTCTCAGCCTCCAAAAGAGCAGAGGAGACCAAGGCGACTTCCGAAATGTGTAGTTGAACGTACAGCCAAGATGGAAGCGCAGAAAGAAAGCCAGGATTCTCATAATACTCAAGAAACAATAAATATTGAGGCAGAAATTCAGGCTCCAGCTGAGGAAGAGAAGGGGATTGTAGAGCAAAACGAGATCAAAAGTCAGATGAAGAAAAGGCGAAACAGGTGGAGAAAGAAAGCAGCAAAAGAACCAGTGATTTTCTCTTCCAATATTAGACCATTGACATTGTCTGAGGAGTCCTATGATGGTCCTTTGGAGTTTGGAACGAGCTGGACCCCGGAAGAAGACAAGGAAGAGTCTCTGGAGCTTCAAGTCCGAACGGAAAAAACTGAATCTCAAGAGAGTATTCAAGAACCACAGCCGCCTGGGATCGTTTTATTCAGAAAGACGGGTAATTTAACCAAGTCTGGAGATAAACTGTGGTTTGGCATGCCTGATGAAGAGGAGGACGATGAGATTTACATGTGGCAGCTGACGTAAACGCAGAAATGACAACTCCCATCCTCCCAATCCCCTCCCCCCGTCCCCCAAACATAGAACCAAGAACATGACCAACTCCCTTCATATTTAAGACACAATCAGACAACTTTCCACAAGAATTGTCTGATTATCTAATTCTAAAACCAACTCCCCAAGCCTAAAATATAAAACAATCCCAAAGGTCTAAACAAAAAGTAGCAGAGATTTTTAGTCTATGCTACTTCACTTTAATACACCACAAGTGCATAACTAACTCCTATTCACCAGTAGGGGGCAGTCTTCATTGATGATGGATGGTATAAAATACTGTCTGGCATCAACCCTGACAGCCCCCGACAAAAACTTGACAAATTCTGATTCCCATCATATTTAAGAGACAATCAGATGCTTTCCTACAAGAATTGTCTGATAATCTATTTCTAAACCAATGGCCCCATTACCAACCCAACTCCCAAAGCCTAAAATATCAGACAATCTCCCAGGTCTTCACACCAA